AATAGATCTCACTAGAAGAATAGATAGGCTAGTGAGAATTAGGAAAGAATCAAATCATCTCAGGAAGCCACAAAACTTTAAGCTCAAGAAGGGAGAAATTAGTGCATACCTTTTCAATAATAATCTTAAATGTAAAAACTTAACTCTCCAGTTAAAAGATGCAGACTGAGTTAGGCAAGGTGGTTTGTACCTGTAATTCTAGCACTTGAGAGGCACAGCCAGGGGGTGTACAAATTCAAGACCAGCTTGGGCTAAAAAGTGAGGCCCAGGCTGTAAGCAAGTGATGAAGGTCTGTTTAGGTTTGTTATGATATATAAAGGATGAGACAAGAATAATATACACATAATCTTAAATTTTCTATGGTCATAGGTTAGTCAACTAGATTAAGGAACAAAATATATATCTAGTCAAGGTTTATCTGAGAATATTTGTTTTTTACCCAAGCCTTATCTACATGGCACATGATAATTAAAAGTACCAGACTGGTGGAACTAACCTTATTGGATATTTAACAGCCATAGTTTGAGGCCTATACTAATGTGCTCAGAGGGACAAAGGACAGTTTTTGCCTCTGGCCCTCCAAGGTCGACTAAATTCCAGCGGACTATGGAACATCTCTCAAAATGTCCTGGAACTGTAGTGAATCCTCTTGTTCAGGAAGAACATGGAGACCCCATGAGACGGACTTGAACCAGTGTCCAGTCTACAAAGGAGGGTCAACTCAAAGGAAACATCTCATTCATGTTTCCAAGTGAAGCCAGGCATGACTGAGCAGGGCCTTTGACTTATCTTCACATAGATAAAACTGGTAAAGAAAGGAGCCAGGAGCTCGAACTGTAGTGAATCCTCTTGTTCAGGAAGAACATGGAGACCCCATGAGACGGACTTGAACCAGTGTCCAGTCTACAAAGGAGGGTCAACTCAAAGGAAACATCTCATTCATGTTTCCAAGTGAAGCCAGGCATGACTGAGCAGGGCCTTTGACTTATCTTCACATAGATAAAACTGGTAAAGAAAGGAGCCAGGAGCTCCTCCCAAGCCCATGTGACCCCTGAGGAACAGATCCTCAAATGACCTTAAGTGTAAAAATAAATTGATTTATTTGGGCCAACTGTATGGTCTTAAACACGCAAAAGGAAAGTATAACCAAAGAGTAAAGTCATCAGTATATATTATATTTCTTTAAGAGTTCAAGGGATTATACTTCCCAGACATTAAGTCTATATTGGTCTCCAATACTGTGGTGCCCACTTGTAGTTAAGGGAGACAACCAGCTATTGCTCTAAAATGAGGGATACATTTGTTTTCACCCCCTATCTAGAAGCCTTTAAGAGAGAACTGACACTGATTTTAACCACTCCAACAGCTATCAAAATGCCTGAAAGCAAATCCTGAATCCATCCCTCTAGAGTCCAGCCTTGGAAGACAAAAGAAAAATGAGGAGGAACCCAATAGAGGGATGCTTTTGGAAGCCCTTTCGTTCCCTGTCTAGAACTTATAATCCTAATTACTTTTGCCTTTACTTCTCCTTCATATCTCCTACTCATGATTCAAGACTTTCTTTTCCCAATAGAGACAACAAAAGTTATGCAATTCGGGAGTCTTTTAGAGAGACCCACTGAAGGGGTACTCCAAATGACTCACCCTGTTCAGCATGGGAGAATTCAGACTAGTCTGTGTCCCTATTGGCAATTTGGGTAACCTCTTCAGAGGATGGTGTGATAAGAATAGGAGGCAGGAATTCGCTAGGCAATTAGGGTAAAAAGACCTCAAAGAAAAGTAGCCAGTTTCTTGGCTAAAAGTCACAATGTCCTTGGGCCTCTTAGCAACATACTCTGTTCCAAAGGCCAAAAATGTTGAAAGTATTTGGGAGCTTGTATCTAATCCTTAAAAGATTATAGGGTTACCTCTTCAGAGGGGAGAATGTTAGAGTAGCCAAAAGCCCCATAAAAATAAGTAAATAAATAAAAGGGGGGAAAAAAAGACTCAGACTAAGTAATTGCTCAAAGCACACACAGGAACTGACTAGGTCAGACTCCAGAGATGACCTTAATTTTTCTGTTTGTGTTATTCGTGTATTAAGTCAACTGAACTTCACCAAACAATAATGACAGGAAGACAGGAATGTAGGCCAGGTGTGGTGGCAGATGCCTATAATTTCAGCACTTGGAAGACATAAGCAGAAGATCACTGCCAAAGTCACAGCCAGCCTGGTCTATATAGTATGTTACAGGCTAGCCAGGGTTACACAATGAGAC